ATGTCCCTTTTGGCTTGCCCCAGTAGCGTCATGCTATTATTCCTTGTCACTCACAAATACAGATGCTGGGCTGTAAATGTCCAGAAGAAAAACCTTATTCGGAAACAAGATTCTGCTGATGGTACAAGCAAAACGGAAAATATTTATTTCGGTCGGTTGCAATTCATAGCATCACTCTCTAATTATGAAGCTCGCAACTTTTTCAAACGCTTTGACCAGTGCTGCATCGCTTGGTGGCCAGCTTGTTAAAAATATCCTAGAATTTGTTTCACCCTATCAGAAAAATTCAAATTTAAATTTAGATCTGAGATTGACAGTTACAGCACAAAGGGCTTAGGAAGTTTATTTCGGATTACGAAATCGATTATGCGATAACCTGAGTTTTAGCATCCTTGAAAAACTAGCACTTTTAATGAGGAATAATTCACATACAAACATGCATTATATATATATTTTATATATATATATCACACACATACATAAATACAAACATACATTCATGTACACACACATCATCCACCATACACGTATACACCACATACACAAGCATACACTGTACACACCACACACACACACGCATACACTGCATACATCATACACGCGCATACACAGGGGTAAATACAAATTAGTCACAGAGGTTTTCATTTGTATATGCAAAAAGCATAAAAATGAATAATTATTGAAGAGTAATATTATATGACAAAAATTTCCTGCAAAATTTCTTCAGGTCAACGAGCAGCGCTCCGTATGACCGGAGGAGTGGAAGACAGAAGGGGGAGGGGGAAGGAGTGCGGGCCAGGCTAAGTGATTCAGCAACATTAGATGGAATTTCAGAAAAAAATTATCTTCATCAGTTTGTTTTCCATCCCTCATTAAAGCCGGCGGAAACCAGACCTCATGCTGACAGCCCCCTTTTTCATGTTATTCCCAGCTCCAAACAACGTTTCTTTAGTTTAAAGTCTCCAGGGAAAGTCGAGGAATCCATAAAGCTACTTCCGGTGGTTAAATCCAAACCCAGCGGCTTGCGGGTAAAGCCAGTTAGCCCAAAAAGAGCAAAATCAGAGATCAATTAAGGAATTCGTGATTCACTACGGGTTTCTTCTCGTCTGTACAAATGCTTACTCAACTGATCAATGTATTGCTTATTGATAAGCTTGCAATCACCACAGCCTATGTCCTAGAATGTAGAATTATGTCGTAGCACTAACATGTCTCGCCGTAATAGCTGGGACTGCTTGCCCCCCCCCCTCTCCTCCCCCTCGTCTTCGCACTTTTGCAGCCTTGCCATTGGTTTTATTTTTACAGCGTAATACAGAACAAACATGGCGTACAATTTTGCACTCTACTCACGGAGACCACCAATCTTGCAAAAATTTGGTCCGAATGCAATTTTGAGCATATCCGCTTGAACGACTGTGTGGAATTATGTGGATGAGGGAAGGTTCAAAATAAAGAAGAATGGAGAAATAGCTAGCTGCGTCAATGACGACAAGAAACACGACAATGAAGGAAGGGCTAATCAAAGTATCAAAATAGGTATAGAGAATTTCAACAAAGTGAATAATTTGATCAAAATCTAACTTGCGCTCTACACTACGACCTTAATTTCAAATAAAACTAGTTGTTGTGATTTCAGAACGGCACAATTTATTTACTATAGGATCAGGCTATCAGCGGTCGTCAAGGACGACGCATATTAATCAGTGGTACCCG